AGTTTCCCTAATTTTTTTTGCTGGGCTTTTGAATCGTGGTCTCTAAGGTTTTCGCCCAATTCATTGACCTTTATCACGCCCCTGGCTATAGTTTTTCTGAAAGTTAAACCTCAGCTTTGTTCAAGTGCCAGAATCTTAGTCCCTGGCTGAAAAGTCATGGAAAACTTGACACTCTTTTCAGAAAGTGAATTGTGACACCTGCCCACAGAGTAATAAGAATCTGGGAAGACAGCACTGTATTAAGATATTTTTAAGGAAATCAGTAACGAGCTTTAGACATTTTGGAAAGGTATTTCAGGTATCAAAAGGTTTATCACCTTAACCATAGAGTAAAAGTATTTGGGTTTAGACATCCTATGCCTTCAAACATTTACATAAAATCACTTGAGGGCTTAAACTAAATGAGAAAATAAGATACTTCAGAGAGGGTCATCAGCAACATCAACAGATAGTCATATTCAATCCAAAACAGTACTAAACATAGCTACAGAAGTTAGCTTTACATGTCATTGGTCTATGTCCAAAATGAGCCAATCATGGCAAGTAACCTAAATCTAAACAGAACTTTGTGAGATGGGTCCAAGGTAATCACCCTCCAAGCTCACAACTGCTTGGAATTCCTTCTCCGCCTCCACATACCTTGCCCCAACCACGATGAAACGCACCACAGTGTCTCTCTCAATTCTTGACATCTTCTCATTCATAAAGATGGGATTTTCTCCAGGCACATACTTATAATCCGACATCTTCTGATGAGAGAGGTATATCTTGTCAGTGGGGCCACATCTTAAAAAGACACCGTGCTTCAAGATCTTGTGCACAACCCCTTCCAAGATTTCTCCTCGGAATATGTTGAAGGTAATGCAACTGAAGTCCACAGGGAAGAGCACATCTCCAGTGTGTTGTCGGACTTTCCCTTCCCCAATCTTCTCCATTGTAGTGACAGCTATAAAGTAACCGAGATTCTTTGTAGCCTTCTTGGAAGCAAAGTCTTCCAAGAGGCGAAGAACAATTGCTTTCTGAAGCATTAAACCTTCAATATCAAGGTTCTCAGCAGGGATTATCACGTTCCATGACAACCGAGATTTCAAATACATTTTTAAATGACCTGTCCACAAATGAAAACACATTGGGCAACAAAACAAGGGAAATATTGGGCCTTAAAAGGATACCCCGCAGCTGCAGCAATGCTAGCATGAAAGTTCAAGAGAATGTCTGGAAATACATATACCACAACCATAAGAAATGCAATGCACATTTACTGAACTTTATCCATCAGGAACAGATTTGTAAGAGGTACTGGATAGGAAATCATAAGAGACAAAGTGGAACATTAAAATACTAAGGATTTGCATGCTGGGTTCTTAACTAGCAACAACAACACCAACAACAACAACAACCCAGTGAAATCACACAAGTGGGGTCTGGGAATTGGGTTCTTAACTAGCAGTATCAACCATTTTCCAGTCAAATAAGTTGCAGAGATTAGCTTGAAACATTATAGGCAAACATAGAAGACTACACATTGTATCAGCTCATACAAGAATGCAGCAATCAAGCTATTGCAACAACGTCATTTATGAGATATTACAAACACTCCATCTCTAATAAGAGTGTTTACACCAATTTGAAACTTTTCAAAAAAGATTATAATGATTAGTGAATATCAGTAACTGAGCAACTCCTTATCAGCTACACCGACCAATTGGAAGTATTAGTGGTGAAATGGAGTTTCCCACAGACAATGAAAGAATATTTCAAAGACTTAAGCCAATTTTCGAAGCCAACTGCAGCTGAGTGTCTATGCTCAGCATGAGTTGGTAACGAAAGAAAAGAGGGTGGCGAACCTTTGAACCAGTCTAATTATATATATATATATATATATATACAGTGTTTAGTAGATAAAACTTAAACCCGAGATTAATAACACATATATCCATCCTTCTGAGTTCTGCCTAGGCGTTTGGGCAATTGGTGACAATCAACCCAACTTTGAATATATCAAATGTCCCCTATTTTAATCAGCTCTCAAAATTACGAGCATTTTCTGAGAGCCAATCAAAGATGAATGCAAAAAGTAAAGTCATTTCACGAAGATAATAACAGTTGCAAAAAGGTAAAATTAAGAAAAGAAAAAGAAGAAAAAATAATAAGATGAAAAATAAACATATTTTGGTCCATATCTACCTGGGGCTAGGGTAAAATTTGCAGGGTTTAAGGGTTTCTGAAACAATTTTAGAATGGTGACAAAAGACAAAATGAGACTTTACCTTTGCTTTAGGCTTCTAAAGAATGTCGAGCAGTGAGCAAAAATAGAGGATATTAGGACTATATGATTGCATGATCGAAAATAGCAAGTAAAGGAAAAAATGTGAAAGATTCGGAACATAGAAAAAATGCACAAGAAAAAAAAAGAATCATGGTCGCTATTAGAAGGAACGGAGTAGAACTAACCTTTTCTGATGACAAACGGCGGCGGCGGCGAAGCGGCACGGTGGGGAGACGGAGTTGGTAGAGGGAGCAGTAGCTTCGTGACTCGTGAGCTATGGATTCTGGTTCAGTGTGGGTACTCCAAATTATATGTTGGATCATAGAGGAACGTTAAATAAATGGAGGTACTGAAATTGATTTAGTAGAAACTTTGGGGGTTAAAAGCATCCTTCTCATTTCTCTCAAGGTAATGACACCTGTCCTTTTGCATTATTGCATGTAATTCTTGTGTCTATAGGTAGGGGTGTAACCGAACCAAACCATCTATATTAGTTTGGATGGTTCGGTTTTGTTGGATTTTTTCGAGTTTTTTAATTTTTTGTTATTTAAATATTATTTTAATTTACTAAGTTAAATTTTTGATAAGTAAATATATGTCTAGTAGAAATATAAAAAAATTGACAAATATATTATCTATTAATTCTTATAGGTAAACTTTCTTAGTAACACATAATGACAATAAGTTTTGTTGATATACCTAAATAATAATAATTACTTCACATTTGAAAAGATATAAGAATTTAATAGATCTTAACATATGATATGAATATGGAAGAACAAAGATATTGACGCATTTCAGTAATTGCTAAGAAAGTGGTCATACAACCCATTATTTAAGGTTAATAAATATGGAACACTTCATATTCTATTAAATATTATATCCTGCAAGAGAATCCCAAATATTTCTAGACATTTTAAAAAAAACTTATATAAAACCTTAAAAGTATATATAAAAATTATAGGCAAAATACCTTAACCCCCCCCCNTCAACTTGGCCTTTTGAGAGTCATTACCCCCTGGACGCTAATGTGACAAAGAGTGTGGGTGCACTCGCCTGCCACGTGCATTTTTCCTATATATGTGGCATTTGTTTGAAAAATAAAATATATTTTTACCTTTTTAAGTATGTTACTTCTTTAGATAATTTTTTCGAATATAATTATAATAAAACTTGGATAGAACTACATTATTTAGGCTACATTTTTTTATTTGGCTAAAAATAATAAAGTTTTAGTTAATCTTTTTTTTTAAATTTGACCTGAATATAAAGATTGATACAATTGAAATAAATTGTCAAGGCATCTAAAAAGTTATAAAAAATACATAATTTGAAATTAATTATTCTGGCTATAATTTTTTATATAGCTCTAAATTGTGGGACTCTAAAAATATATTTTTTCTTTACATATTTTACTTGAAAAAGTAAAAATGTACAGTTAAAATAAATAGTCATTACATCAAAAGAAGAAATAAAAAGAGTACACTCTTTTTATAGTTGAAAAAATTATACACAGTTGGATAAATAAAAATACACAATTGAAGAAATTGTACACTCTTTTAATTTCTTCTTTTGATGCAATGACTATTTATTTCAACTGCATATTTTTATTTTTTCAGGTAAAATCTGTAAAAAAAATATATATTTTTAGAGCACTATAATTTAGATCTATATAAAGAGTTATAGTCAAAATAATTAATTTTAAACTATATATTTTTTATAACTTTTTTAGATGCCTTGACAATTTATTTTAATTGTATAAATCTTTATTTTCAAGTCAAATTCAAAAAAAGATTAACTAAAACTTTATTATTTTTAGTCAAATAATTTTTTTTTGAATAAGTAATGTAGTTCTATCCAAGTTTTATTATAAATTGTAGTCGAAAAAAATTATCTGAAGAAGTAACATACTAATATATTTTATTTTTCAAAAAAATGTCACATATACAGGAAAAGTCCACGTGGCAGGCGAGTGCACCCACACTATTTGCCACATCAGCATCCAGGGGGTAATGACTCTCAAAATGCCAAATTGAGTGGGATAATTAAGACTACGAATAATTTAAGGTCGTAACTAATAATCTGTGCCAAGTTTAGGGAGGTTTTAAGATATTTTGCCAAAAAAATATATATTTATATGCCGGTTTGGTTCGGATTTTTTAATCGGTTTAATTTGACTTTTCGATTTGGTGCGATTTTCCGGTTCGCCCTACTATAGGCGTACTTTTAAGAATTTTTTTAATTTCGATCATTCTGATTTTCTATTAAGCATTCTGAACCTTGAATTAATTCCTCTTTAGTCAATTTATTTTGTGTGTGAGAGATCTATGAATAAACACAAGCTTTTGTAGGATTTCTTTTTATTTATTTATTCAAATTGCAAAAGATTAGGTTTAACTATTATTTTTCTCTCAAATACATGTGCGTTATGATACTTTACATACAAATTATAATATATTTAAGTTTTGATGAACAGAGTTACTTGAGATATGTCATGTATCTCGAGGAGGTAAGTCCAAAATGACCCGAACACTATGGTTATTAAAAAAATAATATATTTAAATTTATTTTAGTACTAATTAATCGTTGGTTTCAATTTTATAAATTCTCGAGTAAAAGGATCAAAGTGTACATGTCAATGCTTAATTTGTCAGTATTTTAGGAACAAAAGTGCAAATTTCCTAAGAAAGAAACTACCCACACCGCACGAAGCATTCATGTATATGAAAACCAACTTCTCCGTTCAAAATTCTCCCGCTCTCTTTCTAATCAGTTCAGTTTCATCCATGGCGAACCAATTTCTCCTTTACACCATCTTATTAGTGTTGTTCATCTCTCTCTTTCCCCCTTTAACTCATCAACTCTCATTATCAGGTAGTTCTAACTCCTCACTCACAAAATCCAACTATGTATATAAGTAAATTCACGCTCGTCTGTGTTTTTTTTTCTTTTGGCAGAAGATGTAGCAGTTCCTAGTTTTGCATTTAGTTGGGTGGACAACAATGATACATTTGTGGCTGGGGCTGTGGCAACCATAATGGTCAAAGTTATTGGAAATTTTGATCCTGCCAAATTCAAGCACCCTTTCAGTCCCAACATCAGTGTTAATGATAAGACGGGAAACAGCTCTTACATTTCTGGGGTTTCGTCTAATTTTGGCTGGAATTTTGGGGATTGGAGGATTTCTTTCGTTCCTATTATGACCGGGTTGTTCAATGTGCTGATTACTGATGATCACTTCAATGTCTTTGATTCTTCCCTTCATTTTCAAGTCACCCCAGGTTCCATTTTTCACTAATTCCTGTTATTGAAATATCATTGTTGACTATGGTACATAAATTCGGTTAATTAGACATATCCTCTATTGGTGTGTATAAGCACTTTTACTTTACGTCCGATGTTTTTATACGAGTTGTTTAGCCTTTAGGAGATTTGTATGTCATTAGAAAATATAAAGAACATCTAGTACTTTTTATTCTTATTTTGTATATAATTGGCTTGAGATAAGTTTATGAGTAACATGGTCAGTGAGGATTCATGTAGCCGACCCCATAGTGTTTGAGACTGAGGCTTAGTTATTGTTGTCGGCAGTGTGTATAAGCATCCGGTACAGCAGTTTCTCTTTGTTGGATAAATTTGATATGCTTTACATGCATATTGGTCTAATGAAGTTAATGGCAAATATGTCTCGCCACGCGCTCTAAATTTTCTGTTAAAATCAGCAGCTCTTTGTGTTATCATATGTTCCTCACGCAATTATGCTGTGTATATGAAGGTAACATCCATCCATCTGCAAGCGGGGTGTCATGGGGAAATGGAGTGAGTGAGTTTGTAGCAGGGACGAAAGCATCAGTTATGGTTCTTCCTAAAGATGCATTTGGGAATAATATCTCTTCAGCAAGTGAAGGACTGAACTCTTACAACTTCACATTATCTATATCTACTTTCAATGGTCCCGTAGCAACTATGCTCAATTTCACCAATAAAGGATGGGCTATAACTGGTTATCTCGAAATAGAGTTTGTTGTAGCTACAGCTGGAAGTCTTTTACTTCATGTACAAGGAGAAAACCAAACATTGAGGGGCTGTCCTCTAATGTTCATAGTGTACCCAGGTGATTCATGTAAGCATAAGGCTAATAATATCTTTTTATAGTTCTAGCAACAATCTTGGAGAATGTTTTGTGCTCTTGAATCGATATTGATCATCTGGTTAAACTAATAAGATTGGAAGCTTCATTTCTGTGCTATTCAAGGTGTATTTGTTACTTGTTAGAGATTTTCTTGAGTCTTAACAAAGGATGCTGGCACATTGATAAACTGTAATTATTTTTTTTTCTCTTTTCTTTGGATAGATTTTAAATCTTATTCATGCTTTAACAACAAGTGATTTCATTTTATCTTTTACAAATTCTCTTGGATGGTAACCCGACTCCTAGGTTCATTTTGCAGGAGCTCTGGATGTTTCCAAATGTTTTTTGCGGTGGGAAGTTAAAACAAAGTACTTCCAAATATTTTCTCCTATGGAAGGTTTTATTCACCAGCATGATCAATATGGAAATCTTGTTCCAGGGGTGTATGAATTTGATGTTGAAGTTATTGAAAATGGAATGAATTTGATTATTCCTGTGACAGATCTGCAATTCAGGCAGGTTGGCTTGGGTATTCAGTTGTTTTCCTTCAGCCTAACAGAACCAGGGGACTTCAAGCTTATGATATATCATAAAGAGATGAATAATTCCATCTCAGCTATGCCGTTTCATTTTACAGTGTATATAGGTGATTTAGCATAACTACATTTGCTGCCGCTTACATTTCTTGGTTTCTGTCCTTTACGCTTATTGTGTCTCTCTCTCTCTCATATCAGCAATGTGCTCTCAATTGTTAGTTTTTGTATGCATTCTTTTTATTGCTTTTAGCTTAGGTATCTGTGGGGCTATTTTCAGTTACTTGCTTTTGTGTCACATGGTTAGCGTTTTAGCAATTCACGTATGATTAGATTTTGGACTCACAGAAAAGAAATCATGTCGGAGGTTCTGCAAGCAGGTAAAGCTGTGAACAATGCTCAAACTTGGGTAAGAATATTTTCTATGTTGCTCGGACTCTCCAAAAGTGTTGCTGCACCCGTGTCGGATCCTCCAAAAATGCACTAAATTTGGAGGATCGGACACGCACCCAACAACATTTTTGAAGAGTCCGAGTAACATAGAATATTTTGGAATGGGAAAAGTTCCCTATCTCTTTCGGCTTACCAGTCTGAACTTTTAACTGCTTGTTAACGCAATAAGTAGCTTTTGCCGTTATAGTTACCTTCTGATACATTGTCATCTTGATATTCCTTCTGCATATGAAGCTGCACATCAGTTTTAGCGCATTTTTAGTACTTAGCTTCTGATCTACAACTTCAAATTTTATAGGTTATTGTGATGGAATGAGTAGTATTGTTAATGGATCGGGTCTAAATGACTCTGTAGCTGGTGAAGCTGCAAAGTTCTCTGTCTTCTTGAAGGATGCTTATCTATATCCTTCGCTTGTTGAGTTAGAAAGCATACAAGTACAAATCGTGAATGAATTTGATTCCTATCATGCACAACCAAGCATACATCCAATGAAGATGGTCAATGGTACGAAACTTAGAATTCAATTTTCTGGTAAATAGGAAAAGCTTACCTTGACATTTTTTGATTGTTTACCTCTCTATAATAGGAACTCTATGCAGTATGAATTTGAATCGCGGATCACATAATGATGTGGGACTTGCTTTTACTCCTGTGGCTGATGCAAACCTTGATGTAAGAATTCTTCGTAGTGTTCTTTATTTGGGCTTTAGAATAGACGGAATTGATAGTTATTTTTGGTTGCAGCCAAGAAACATGAAGTTTAGTGGCTTTGATGTTAATTATATACCAGAGAGGAGTGGGATCTATGAAATTCGCATATTCTGTGGAAATATTCCATTAAATGGTGGTCATCCGTTCAGAAAGGCAGTAAGTGCAGGTACATGTTTATGCTTTTAATCTGTATCCATATTCATGAAATATAGCTAAGTTGTTGTGGAACTTAAATTACTAAGAAGCGCTTTCTTGTTAATATCAAGAGATGTTGCTTATATCAGAACATTTTTTTGGCCAGAAATAATCCCAACTTTACAGCTTTTTAATTATTTGAGAAAATCAACCAAATGCCCATCCAGCCGAACATTAATTTGTATATGCCGTACATTAGCTTGTCTAACTTTTTTTACAACGGTGATGCATGCATCTTCTGATTCTCAAGTTTCTCTGATGTTTCGTTGCTTTGGTGCAGGCAAAGTTAATATATCTCTTTCTGGACCTGTGAAATTCAGTCCAAAAGTAGCAAAGCTGACACAGAATGAAATCATAGTACGACTCATGGATTCATATTCTAATCCAGTCGTCTTACAGCAGTCAAAGTTGAAGTTGGAGATTGGATCAGTTAACAGATCAGGTTTTTCGACATGGACTTTTATTGACAATAAGGATGGCACATATAATGGCAGTTACATGGCTAAGGATGTTGGCACCTACGAATTATGTGCCTCGTTTGATGGAATGCGTTTCATGCCATGCCCCTTTGGTGTGAATGTATACACTAGTGAGTTCTTTTCTTTGAAACATAAAATGAAATTCTTTTAGGGTAAGATAAAACTCTTTCTTTACTATTTTAATCCTTCAACTACATGGTCATTGAAATGGTAATTTCTTGCTTTTCATCGCATGACATTTCCTGTCCATTCATCTGACATAAGGCATTCTTCTGCCTTTCAGGTGAGTATTTTCCTAGAGTACAGAATGATTCAGTCTGGGTCTGGGAGGATGACTCAATTGCTTTTGATGCTCTGGAAAATGACTATTTTGCTGGCCATAACATTACAATTTTTGAATTTTCAAAGGTAGGTATCTAGTCTACTGCGACTACACAATTGAAAGAATACAAACTTTTTGTATTGTAACTAAAAGCTAGAGGTATAAAAAACTTGATGGATATTATCCTCTATGAATACAGTAGGTGTACAAACATGTGTTTAGACATGTTCTCTTACATAGGATATAAAATAGTTTAATAAAATTTTCATGCACAGCCAGGTCATGGTTCAACTCTTCAGTATGGGCGTCTCTTTAGATATACACCCTTCAAAGGATTCTATGGGAGGGATTCTTTCTCTTATACAATATGTGATATGAATGGGAACACTGCATCAGGTGGTGTGGATATATCTGTTCTAAGCATCCCTCCTCAGTTCGTTTCTGTTCCAAGTCAATTACTGGGAACTGAAGATGTAATTAGTCCACAGTTCGGGTAAAGTTCTAGTCATGATTTCGTGTTGCTTTGGTGTCTAAGCGTCTGTAATCTTGTTTGCTAACTACGCAGTGGTTTCCCTGGACTTGAGATTATCTATTCAGATTCAACTGAGAATATCAGCATTACTTTTAGTGCAAAGTCTGGGACCGTCTTTCTGTCTCCTATGTTAATGCAATTTTGGCAGCCAACCTGGAGTATTGCTACTATATCCAACAAGGTTGGGGAGACTACTGAATTAACTTTAACAGGCTCTCTAGGAGAAATCAATTTTGCCATTCCATCGGTACAGTACTTTGGGTATGGCTATCTGCACATAAATTCTCACCATTTATTTATCTGCTGAATCTGTCTCTCTTCGGAAGCTAGTAAGATGGTTTTTATTTGTTTCTAAAAATGTGTCCTTTTCTAGATAATTGGAAAGTCATCCCTGTCTATCTGTAGCTTTTGCGAGTGGGGCTTATGCCAAACTAACACCATTTCAAAAGATTATTCCCAAATTAAGTCTTCTTTCAAAACAATCCTAAAATAACACTTCTGGTCACCTACCAGGTCAATCAAAGAAAAAAAGCACTAAAGTATGTAATATATAGCACATCATTCTTTTTTCACTGTTCCTCCAACACTTAGGCCACCCACTCTTACATAACCCTTCTCTATCCTAGGCAGTAGTCACTCCTCGTTACCTCATACTTGTTTATGCATTACTCATTTTAGTGATTTACATTTGTTTACACTAAAAAATCTGCTGGAACAGTATTAGTTCCTATGAACATTAACTTCTCCAAAAGTTCCAAAGAATGCACCGTAGGCTCTTCGTAGAAGATATTGGAACTACATGTAAAATACAGCAGAGTGATGGGTGAAAATAATAATATCCAGTTTAGGAATTAACTAGGCTTTCAATTGTAGACACCTCCTCCCCAGAATTGGAAAAAAGGAGGACGCAGCCTCTCTTGTTGACATAAGTGCAGGCATCTAGTAAAATGCAGAGAATGACTGATACTAATAATTTTTCAGTGGAGATAAGCATGTTGTATTAACGAGTCTCATGTCTTTCATTGAATCAGAAATGAAGACTTTTATGGAACTGATACAATTCAAGTCTCTACCATGAACAAAAATGGGAAGAACAAGTTAGATATTCCGATATTGGTAGAACCTATCAACGATCCTCCATTCATTAATCTCCCTCCTTATGTTATTTTGGATCAAGGGAGTGGAGAAGTTCTTATTTTTACCGGAGAGAGGGATAAGTCTGCTGTTTTTGTTGGAGATCCAGATCTACTGCATTATCCTGGTACGTGAGTTTAAACCATTCAATCCAATGTGGGTGTGCAATACATGGATAATACTAGAATAGGAGATATTCAGTGCCATTTTTGAATTGGTTAATAGTTTGTGAATTAAATGGATAATGAAGGACAATGTTATCAAAGTTGAAAAACGCAAAAAAGCTCTAAAGTCTGTTGGGGCTTTAAGCGCAAAGCGCAAATAAAGCGTGATTTTTAATAAAGAAAGGCGCAAATGGAGAAAAACTACAAATATGTATGTGTAGTCCAAGACTAATATCTATAAACATGAATACCAAATATATGGACAAAGAAATGGAAGAAAATTTACGATAAAGATCAATGTTTAGTGTCGCGTCTTCCGGATTACGCTCGTTAGCAAGGAAAAGTATGTCTTAGAGCCTTGATGACAACACTGAAGCGCCCGTTAAGAGAGGCGAAGCGCTCTACATGTTTTGACCCTCACTTCAGGGTTTAAGCACTCCTTTGATAACATGAGAGTCGTGCTAATTCTGCACTGCTGAGTTTTATGTAAGAATATTGGATATCGTCAAGTGATTTGTAGTTTATTTAATCAAAATGGTGGGGCTTTCATCAAAATTTTCATTTCACCGACTAATGAAAAAAAAGGCTACCTCCTTTCTGGACAGTAACCTCCCATATCTGGCAGCTGTGGCTTTTGCCTCTTCACTCTTCTGGTAGCTCTGCTGAAACTAGATTCTATTATGCAAGTCCTCTGTCATTTACAATAGCTGATGCTTTTGGGATATGGGAGAGGGATATAATATTTTTACATTTGAAACATAGTTGAGTGCCTCTTAAAAAAATTTAAAATGTTGATATTTAAATTTCTTTTCAGGGAATAAGTCTCGTTTCTTGGTTATGTTCTCCATGGAAGTCAGTTCCGGATTCCTTTCAACAAAGCTTCCTGCTGATCTAGTTAGCACGACTGAATTAAAATTGAAAACCAGCTACCAGTGGCAGCCTCTTCAGACATTTGTAACCATCTCAGAACATTTTATGGTCAAAGCCAAAGGCATTAGATTTCGGGGTACACTAGAAGACTGCAACAGTGTGTTGGAGCAATTGCTATATCAGGTGTGTTCTAGAGATTCTAAGTTACTTTAGTATCATTTTTTCGCTGGTTCTGGACTTATACCTTCCTTTACTGTTTCATTGACCGATTATTTCAGAACAATCTCATAGTATTGTCTAGCTAAACTATAGTGCAACAACTATGTATTCAGAATCTATTCAGATCATAAACTTATTATCCTTTTTCATAAGACAGCACATAATCAGTAGAAGGAGGTAGAGCGATCGGAGATCACATTCGATTACCCTTCACTCTTTCAAATGATGGCATGTATGCTATTCCCTGACCTACCCCTAAATTTCTTCTTCCTTTAGTCTTAATAAACTGGAGAACAAAAGAAGATCAAGAAACAGTATTGGAAGATGTGAAAAACAAGAATACTTCGAGCAAGAATGTTTTTTTTCACTTCTCCACCTTTCGTAATTTTTCTTTTGGCTTACCCATTCATTTTTTTCTATCGCTATACCAATGAAATACAGGGAATCAGGAGGTTAGCTAATGGTACATGTAGCAATACCTGAGAAGTGGCAAAGATAGTGGCACAGATAGTGCCACGAGGGATCAAGAGTTATCTGAGATAGTCAAAATTTGTTTCTGCAATACAGTCTTTATGGCACATTTTCCCATTTTCCCCGTTGTCGTACCTCCGTTATGGGTTATGAAAGGATTTTATGAACATAATAAGGGCTTATACGCATATTTTGTATTTATATTTGCTTACTTTCATATCTAGAAAATAGTCCTTAGTAATGTTTGAATTATACTTGCAAATGGACGTGTTATTGCACTGCTTCATTTTATCGCAAAGTTCTGATTCATTCTTAGGCATTTCAGTTGCTATTTATCCTGTTTTCTTTTCACGTTGTGATCCGCATAACTATGTGAGTTGCTTTGCAGGGTGATAAACATCATGCTATTCTTACTGTGACAGTGAATGATATGGGGAACTATGGGTGCTACCCAGACTGCACCGAAATGATGTCAATGCCTCATTTTGTTGAGGCTTCTGTCAGTCTCATGAGAGAAAGACCTCTGAGTTCATTATTTGCACATGGTAAGTTATGCATCAGAAAGCTGTAATATTTATAGATACAGTCTTCTTTCATCGCATTCTTTTTCCTGAACTTCATGGTGTATGCCTATTGCCACAGATCCCATTTTTAATATTTTTGGCTTACCTAATGACAATTCCCATTTTCGCCTACCAAATACTTTAGATTTCTTGTTCCGGTTGCCCTGCTTTTTATAAACCCCTAGCTGGAAATGATGCTTTTTCTAGCTCCTGCAAGTCTCAGGTAAGATTTGAAATGTTAAAATACGCAGTTACAGGCCTCAGATGCGAAAGTCAAAGAAATTATTTTTTATATATTTTATTGTCTCATTCGAAATGCAATCCATGGAAAGGGAGATGCATGGTAACTTGTTGAAGTTTGCGTCGATTATGAGAAAATAGTCTAAATTTCTGGAAACTTATGCCAAGGATCATAATTTTCTGAAATTTCATTTGGAATAAGTGTAGCATTGACAGACTTATTACGGTATTAATTATCAGGATGATAATAATACTGCATCTGATTGCAGCTTTTGGATCAGCAATTATTATTGAATTCATTCTGGTTCTCGCTCTTGGTGTGATACTTCTATTCTTCACATGCAAATGTGCGTTTGTTCTCTTTAATGAAAAGAAGAGGCAGGCACCTCAGGATTTTGAGTTCTCCAAGGTTCAGAGTTCCCAAGAAGGAACTGTAAGTAGTATTCGATTAAATAAAGATTTGCTGTTGTTTTTTACAAGCCAGAATTGTTATCTTTTCCTGGCCTATGGGGCTGATGTTGTTTGCTCAATGCGACACCTCTATTATTCTTTTAGGTGCATATCACACTCAACTCAAAGGGCAGTTGTAGAGTAAAAAATCTTCTATGATATATTCTTTTGTGTACTGTACAGTTAACCGGGGATTTATCTGATAAGATGACTCGATTAAGAGGATGCTGTTCAAATTCCTTCTTGTCTGATCTCCAGCTCTCCAAATTTCATCCGCGGTAGGTTTACATATATGAAATGGCTCTAATTTTTATATTTTGAAAAACTGAAATCAGAAGTTAAGGTCCCTTCTGAGCATCGAAGATACACCATTTAGTAAACTTTAGAAGTTCTGAATCTTGTCATTTGTAAATAAGTTCAACGCTGTAATACATACTACTAGAGTGTTTTTTTTTTTTTTGGTTAAAAACTGGCAAAATTTTATTTAACACATACTACAAGTGTTGTTTCTCAATAAAAGCAAACTAGTCAGTTGCAGTTCAAATATGCAGAAAGTCCATTTCAGCTGTATATCTTGTAGCAGAAAGCTATTTGTTTGAAGTAGCATTGGTCTTACGCCCTCTCTTTCTACGTCGTGAAAAATTTGTTGATGCAAACTACATACAGGTCATGCCTACAGCTTGGAATTGGAGGGTCTCCTAAATCTACCGATATTTCTTCCAAGTCTTCAAGCGATCAGCTTGAAATGACTTCTCCTTCTGGGATAAATCCTGCAGCTTCTGCAAAAGATAAACAACTTTCAGCCCAACTGGAAGAAACTGAAGTTTATTGAGATGATCAAGCTCTTCTTTGAAAGACTACTTTGACTTCTACAGACTATATTATTATATCGATAGCAGTAGATACTTCCTATAATTAATCAGCCTTGTTAATACTAATATTTTGCAGGAAATGAAGCTAGTTACTTGTATAGTGACAGATTGAACAGGAAATGAAATTAAAGGAGCATATTTTGTAGGGACTAGTATTAGAGTACGTGTTTTGCGCGTGTATCCTATATCAATAAAATATACTATTTCAAAAAATTACAAAAAAAATTAATAAATAATGTGTTTGACCTTTGAAATAAAAATTAAAAAAAAAAGTATAAATTCTTGAAAATGGTGACTACTAAATATTTTATTTAGCCGACTCAATGAAGAAAGAATTCTTTTTATAAAAGTTCTTAGATGTCTTATTGTAGTTTCTGAAGACTTCTGTAGAAATATAGGATATTATTATTTCTATGATCTAATACAAAAATAAATTTTAAAAAAATTTAAATACTATTATCAACTAAAATTTGTCAATTAGAATAAATTTTAAAAAAAAAATTCTCTGCCATTTTGGGAATGAAGAGATTGTTGTTATGTTCATAGAAAAAATTGATAAAGAGAAACGTAAAGTCTATACGACTTATATTTTTTTACAGCAACTAATTTAATATAGAACATAAGGGGAGTTGTCATTTGTAAAATAATAATAATAATAATAATAAAAAAAAAATAACAATTCCTTCGGAATATAGTTTGTATTCTATTGTTTCCTCCTTATTGCTTCAAGTTTTTATTTTTATGAATTTGACTCTTAATACAATTACAACCAAATTTGCCATATGCTAATGTTATTCAAATCAAAATAAATTTATATCCTATAAGATTTTTCAATTTGAAAATAATTTACTTATATGATGAATATAAAATAATTAAATTAATTCTTGTTAATTTGTTAATTCAAAGTCTTAATTATTTGTTTGGATGAGTAAATGAACTAATTACTTTTTGTTGATTCAAATTCTTTATATTAACTCAACTAATCTTAAATAATTAATTATAATTATATTATCAAAGAATAAAAAAAATAATTTGATATTTCACTTTTTGAATTTTTGTGTTTGTAAATCATTAATGTACTTGACTCTTTTCAACCACCTAAATATTTTATTAGTGATTTGTTAAATATTGATTGGTGTTTTTGTTATGTAATTATTATTATTATTATTATTGCTATTTTTTTTATTACTAAAAGAGATTAGAAAGAAAGAATTACAATTCATGCGCCTTGTTTTGGATAGTTTAATTAGGATAAAAAAAAGTTAACAATATAACTTCTTTAGGTGAATTAAGTTCCTAGATATTACAGGCTTTGCATTATTGCAAATAAGGAACATTTTAGTTGATTTGAAATTTTAAATATTAGAAAAATTATTAATTTAGAATTACAATTTTATCCAATGTGAAACCTATTCTAAAGGGATAAAAAAAGTGTGATATTTTGATAGGGGCTTCGCGCTTTTAATATAGAATTATGTTCTATTTTTCTTTTAATCATGTAAATCGAAGTGCATTTCATAATTCATATTAGATAAAATTGTAATTAAACTCAAGATATTTCTCCTTTATTTAAATTAAAATTGCTAAATACTATAAAGACAAACTCTTGTTCCTTATTAAAAAGATAAATTTCTTTTTTAACTACATATAGGATACTTTTTTCTAAAAAACTATTTCAAAGGAATCATATTAACAATAAAAAAATTTAGAGACCCTTTGCTACCCCTTGGTTGTGAGACGAACATAATTCAAAGGCAAAAGTAAACAAAATTTCCTTCATACGTATTTTGAAGGAATTATGGTTTAATTCAAATTAGTTTTTTTTTCCTACAAATTTTGGAGTACGTCTTTTATGGTAAAAAGATATAGAAAAGCCAAAATGGTTTATTTATAGTAAACTTTAATATTTCAAATATTATGAGTTTCTATATAATTCAAATAAGGAAATATTTTATAAGAAAATTTTTATTTAATTTAAAAATCCTATATATTAGGAGAATAATTAAATTACAATTTTGTCTTATGTGAAAGTTATTTTTAAAGGGTAAAAAAGACGAACGATATTTCGCTAAGGGCCTTCGTGCTTTTAATATAATATAGATTAGAGAGTAAGCTGATATTCATTCACCAAAAATTACCATTTACCAATTTTTTGGAAGTCCAGAAAATGATCTGTTCGTTCCGTTGGTGCGAAAATTGAACTTTGAAATATACCTCCAATATAAGACCAACAAGGAACACTTATATGGATTCTTTTAAATCTTCACTTTTAGGTGGGAGGAATAAATTAATAAACAAACTACGGATAACTTTCAAATTACCTCTTCTTAAAGTTTAGCAATCAATTAAGGCGTTTGCCTTATACACTAACGAAACAACAGTTTAATTAGTTGATTAATCAGTGAAACAAGAAAAAAAATATTACCAAGACGAGCAAACAAACTGTCCAGAAAACAACATGATAATAAATTTCTTGAGTTTGTTAAATAATTGTTATTGTTATAGCAATTCGTATTTTATTACCAATTTTTAATTATGAGAAACCATTTGAAAGAATCAAGATGGGAGGAAGTAATTCTTTTGTTTTTTTGGATGAAAAAGAAATAAGAATCATATTTTTTAATGAGTTGCCGCTGAATTCTCACTCAGTTTTTTTGTCAAAATTGTCCCTTATTTTTAGAGTAGGTCTAATTAAATGTTTACCCAGAATTACCTCAAAGATAAGGGGCAGTTCTCGAAATTCTCTCACACATCTTCTCTTTTTTTTAGTAACTAGTCTCTACATTCATGCGATGCACGAATATTTTATGTTAAATATTATCAAACACTTTTCAAAAGTAATAAACATTTTAAAATGACATAAATATGCAATTGAAGTTGTAAATCGCTTAAAGAATGCAATAATACTTAATATTATTTTTCTGATTGAATGATTTACTTTGATCCAGGTACATAAAAGTCATATTTCTTTAAATTAAGATACATTAATAACAAAGAATACAAAATAAAATGTCATAGGTAATAATTCAATTTCAAGATTTAACTCCAATTTTGATTAATTAAACTTCAATCGTGTGTCTCATCCATAAGCATACATGCTCGTGCATTAAATAGTTTAGTACATTCAAATATCAGTTATCATTCATGTATCTACATATATGCGTTCTTATTTTTTTTCCTCAAAATAATCCAATGATTATTCATTATTTGCATCGTATTTGAACAATATTTTTTTACTGGTAAACTATTTTATTATATCAGTATTGAGTTGTGATTTTCAGGTTCAATTCTGTAATGGCTAAAGATTTATATATTATGATCCATCCAACAAAAAATTATTTTCTAGAAGAATATATAATTTAGTTTTTAAAGGGCATAAAAATCAGTTTACATAATGTATGACATAAAGTGCTACTTTTTATTTTTATTTTTCATTTTTTATTCATTTCGGGCCTAAATAATTCGGATTCTTTTCCTCTTCAAAATTTTGGAATTAATATTGGGCATATATTTTGTCTTTGCCATGTAGATTAAGAGGAGATCACTTAACTCAAGATTGCAAAAATAAAATAAAAAAGAAAGAGTGATTAGACGAAAATTTATTAAGTGATAAATTTCCTACATTTTAAGAAAGTTAAAAAAAGATCATCAAGTTACTTAGTTGTGTGCTTTTGCAAGTTGTATGAATAAAGGTTTTCCAAGTTTTTTTTTATGCAAATCTATTGTACAAATCATGCATTATTTATTTAAGAATAATATAGAAAAATATAGTAAGCAGAGACAAAAATGTAAAAAGCAAAATAAAAAATAAGCATATTCATGGTTGACAAATGTCTAAAAAAGATGTTTTATACATTTATTGTAAATATATAACTAAACAAAAAAATTAAAAATTAAATTCAAATACATTAATATTCAAAATACTGCGTACTATTTAAATAAATCTAACCATTTAAAATATTGTACAATACTCTTGGACGTCGGAACCAAGTTACTCAATAAAAAAAAGAAAAAGGTTTTAAAAGCTATTACTACACTATTTTTGGAATACCAGAAACAATCACAAGTCTTATTTTGTGCTCCTACTTGAAAAGTTATAGAATTTTTTTTCCTACATAAAACCTAATTCTCACGGTTGCAATTGATTAATAATAAAATATGTGGGTCGGCCTTTGTATAATTGAACGCAGAAATTTTGTTGAAATCGATTACTTTGTATATATTCTATAATTAATTGTATGTCATAAACGGTAAGTAGAAATTTATTCTACTTGTATATATGTATACCAATTTGACCGTACCTCTACAACTAATGAATTGCTATTACGTTTTTGTACATTAATAATATAAAAAGTCAACTAATATTTTAAAATTATTTTAATTTACTAACATTGTATTCATGCTTTTATAATAATATAAATATAAATTTTTTTGCTCAAATTCCCAACATTAGAACACCAAAAAAGCACTTATGCTTTAGTAGTCGTACATAACGCTTTAAGAACAGTTCCATGAAACCAAATTTTGTATAATTAAAAAAGAAAAAGGGAAAGAAGATGAAGCAAAGGAGAAATTCTATTCATCATCTCGACACTGTTGGTCTCCCATTCCATTTCGGGCAGAATTGGCAGCTGACTTTTCACACACACACTGACACACTCATATATATATATACAATGTATGCGAAAATTCAAACAATCAGCATTGCTCGAAACCTAGTGTGCGGTGGCGCTGCTAGAGCAATCGGAAAATCATTTTCATCGAGGAACATGGCAACCGCCACGACTGCAGCACATGAGAATCTTCTCACCGTCGGCAGTAAAATCATCGCCGTCGGCCGTAACTACGCCGCTCACGCCAAAGAACTCGGTAACGCCGTACCTAAGGTTACTGTCTCTCTCTCTCTCTCTCTCTCTCTCTCTATGTGTGTGTGTGTGTGTGTGAGAATTCTGATCTGTGATTGATGCTTTTCTCGAAGCTGATAGCAGAATCGATCATCGTACTACGTTTATCTATGTGTAATTGTGATTTAACTTTTGAAGGAGCCAGTGTTGTTTATGAAGCCCACATCGTCGTATTTGATGAATGGAGGGACAATCGAAGTTCCTCATCCATTGGAATCACTGGATCACGAGGTGGAGTTGGCAGTTGTCATCAACCAAAGAGCTAGGGATGTACCTGAAGCCACCGCTATGGACTATGTTGGAGGTATTATATTAATATTTGATACAGCGTACTATACATAATTCAAGTCTGGCAAACCTTCTATGCTCGATTTTGTATTTTGATTCCTTAAGTTGATAACTTTGAGCTGAATTCTACTGTATTTTGCAAGTGTAGTTAGTTCTCTAATCTTGTTTCATAAAATGCATGTGTAATTGTTATTTTAGCTAATAGAAAAAAGAAAGAGCCTCTATAGCTTGTTGATCTGTGCTGCAGTTTTTGACAGCCAATGCCATTTTTTAGGTTACAATATGAAGTTGATCTACTATGGTTTTGTACATTCCATGGTTTCTATTCTCTGAGCTACTAAAGCACCAGATATTGGAGAAAGTTACTGCTATGAGCTCTTTTTTGATTTACTTCTTAATTGATATTATAGCAAAAGAGTTGAGAATTAAAGTGTTCACTGGGATCGCGAGATGTCTCTTGAGCTAGCATCCGTTTGATCTTAGGATGCTATGAGCTCGTGTATCTCTGTTTTTGTTCTGATATAGATCGATTGCCCGGCATACCAAGGTGTAGATGACTTTTTTAATACTGCCTTTGGAGTTTGCTTGAAGTCATTGTTGTCTTCGGTACTTGGCGTCTTCCTCACTGACGGGTTCGAGTACGGGAATGCGTCTCTGTGTAGCAGGTTCACTTAGATTTTCTCTTAAGTGTTTCCTGAGGAAACTCAACAGTTTTGAGTCATTAGTACTCATTCACTTAGTTATTGTGCTTTTCTCGTATTTTTCTGAGAAAGTTTTGAGCACTATTGAAGCCTGCCGACAACCTTATGGGGACTGCATAGAGCCTGCCGAGACTCGCTTGTTTATGTTTCAGGACTTTGTAAAGTGTATTTTTACGATTCCATATGGATTGAGTCCCCAGTATGTCAAATGTCCGGTGACTCGTGAGTAATATTTGTGTGTTGACATGTTCCGCATTGACGTGATCAAGTATGGGATTGCGCCTTTGCATAGTGGGTTCACTCAAGACTCGTTTTTGCTAAGTGTTCCCCGAACCAATTAAAGCTCGTGGTAGAAATCTGTCTATTACAAACTTTGAGGAGACGGTAAAATGCCATGCCAGGCAAGGGCTTGAATTCGCCAGAGTCGGTTTATGTTCAGGACATTTAGGAAGCTCAAGTACGCAGTTTTCATAAGTACTGATGACCTGCTTACAGTCTGTCCGTAAGTCTCGCAAAGATTCCAACTATTAAAACAATGATTGGCACCGTCATAGCAATGACACAAATAGAGCATGAATCATGTACAATTTCAATGTAAAGTAATTTGCAAATAAAATGCAATTGCTGCATATAATAAAGGCAGAATAGCCTTGTAGACACTTGTAGTTATTCGCATTTGTCATCTCGGTCCCTATATTCAATGAAGTTTCATCTAGACGCTTATAATTATTCAAAGTCACTATTTTAAACCCCTCTGACCATTGACCAAGTCTATGTGGCAACTTAACTGCAGAACTGGACAAAATACATGTATTTCACGCCCCCCCCTCCCATTTTTCTCTATCTCACTCCCTTCTCCACGGTACTCCTCCTCCCCTATTTTAATCCAAAACCCATTGCAACAGCCCTTCCCACCACCTTTTCATCTACCAGTGACATCCCTCATCGCCACAGATCTAAAATCTCTAGTCAGCCAGTTGACCGCGTTGGCTTTTTCAGCCATGTCTTGAAGACCCAGGAAAAAGCAATTTCCACGGCAACCACTAGAGATAGCCAATTGGACCATTTCTATCGGGGGTGTTTATTAGGCGATAGTGGGTGCTATTACATTTTAGAATTTCAGATCTTGGTAACCTTTCAATTGGAATAACTATGGCCATTAAATTTAATGGATGTTAAGATTGTACCCATAATTTTTTTTTTTTTTTGGTGTCTTGCTCTACGGAGACAATGAACAGAAAGTGGAAGGAAGCTAAAGATGTGATTTTTTTTCTTCCTCAAGAGGATTTTGAAATTCTTCATTGATAACATAGAGATACATAGTGGGTTTTCCGGTCGGTGATGTTGCTTGTTGTTCTATGTCCGTGGTCCCTTCGTTGTTTTTTTTTGGGCGAGGAGACCGGCGACAATGGTTGAAGGGGGAGACGGAAGCAGAAGGAAAGAAGGCATAGAGGGTGGTGGTTGACTGCGTGAGAGGAAGAGAAGGAGAAGTGAAGGCCGGTTGCAGCAAAAAATGAATCTTGGATATATTGAAAAATAATACTCCCTCCGTTTCAATTTATGTGAACCTATTTCTTTTTTAGTCCGTGCCAAAAA